TGGCTGCCACCGTCCTCTCCATCACCCATGTGAACAGCCTCAAGTTGGAGTCTGGCTCCTCAGCACCAGGAGAACAACCRAGGTTTCTGGGCATACAAGAGCAGAGAGTCACCGGCTTGATGATATTTGTGCTCATGGGTTGTTCCGTCTTCTTAACTGGTATATTAAAGGTAAGAAGAGGTAAAACCTTCTAACTACTCCCTTTGCTTCAGGGCTGAATAACTGTGAGGCACAGGAGGAGGCAACATCAAACCTCAGGTCTGGATGCATGGTTAGATTCTGGCCTCAGTTGTGTTTTGTAGCCCTCAGTTTTGTGCACTGGAGGAGAGCAAGTGACACAGATGCTCCATTCTTCATGYGCCTTTCAAGCCCATCTGTGTTTATGGGCTACAATCAAGTGTATTCAGACTACTACATCTGTTCTTTTTCAAACAACCAGCAGTTTATTGGTTGCAATTTACTCCCAAATTGCCTTGGATCAACCATTTCTGGTAGTTAAACACATTGCAATAATTCCCAAGGGTTTTCTTGCACATTTTTCCCGCAGAAGTAATCTCATCTCCTGGCTAAGAAGCAGCACTTTGTGTTGCTGCAGGAATGTATAGAAATGACTTTTCTACTGCCATGGAACTTGGTGTACTTGGATTATATTAGAACACTGGTGGAAACCAAGCATTTCCCTCTCAGTTTTCTGAAAAATAAGAGCRTTCTGATGAAACTTAACCCGAAAGTAGAAGTAGAGTCTGAACTTGAGTACAAAACATCTAAAGCTTGACACATCTATAAACCCCATAGAAACAGAAAAAACTTTAGGCAATTTTAGGCATTGGCTGTAGAAAAGCTATTAATATTGAGCAGGCAATATAACTTTTGTTTTCTAAATGCTTTCATTTCCTTTGCAGTTCATACCGATGCCTGTGCTCTATGGGGTCTTTCTCTACATGGGTGTATCATCGCTTCGAGGAATTCAGGTCTGGGCTTTTATAGCACACAGCATGTCAACTCCCTGCCATTTAATCTCGGAAGCATGAAGTCTTCTGATCAGTGACTTGGGAAAAACCTCTGAGGGCAAGCAATGAAAAATAACTTATACAAGAATGAAATATGGGATTTCTTGAGGGGTTGGGAGGGTGGATTCATCTGTGCCTGCTTCAGTCTGTGAGGGTACAGCGGGACCTTCTGTGCTTTGCCCCAAGGGGGTAACATCTCCCTGTGATCTTGTAGTTCTTTGATCGCTTGAAGCTCTTCGGGATGCCGGAGAAACACCAGCCAGACTTCATCTACCTGCGACACGTCCCCTTGCGCAAAGTACATCTCTTCACCTTGATCCAGCTCACCTGCCTTGTTCTGCTCTGGGTCATCAAAGTGTCCCCTGCGGCCATCGTCTTTCCCATGATGGTGAGAGCTGGCAGCTGAGAGCAGCGCGTTTGCAGCACTAGAGCCCTCGCACCTGAGCAAGACACAACAATTTGGCTCGCCTAACTATGTCTTCTTTGTTTGGGAAGGTTTTGGCTCTTGTCTTTGTACGGAAGGTCATGGATTTCTGCTTCTCAAAGCGCGAGCTCAGTTGGCTGGATGACCTCATGCCAGAAAGCAAGAAGAAGAAACTGGAGGATGCCAAAAATGAAGCCAAAGAAGAAGAGGTAACATTTGAAGAGAGCTCAGAGCTACACATCTCCCTGGGGCTATGAGCCTGCCTGTTACAGAGTTTTGACTTTTGTTCTTTTTTGTTGCAGGAGTCTCAGAAGATGATGGAAGCTGCTGCTGCAAATTCAGTCCAGCTGAAGCTGGGCAAAASCAGCTACTCGGATGTCTCAAAGCAAGATAATAGTGACAGGTAAAATTACTCTGAATGCCAGGACCCCCCAGCTTAGTGTCAAAGTGGAATTTAACTCTTTCGCTTAATTTAATGACCCCTTTCCCTTAATTTAATAACATGCATCATCCTAGCAACACAGCAGGCAGGGCTCAAAACACTTACAAAAGGGGAGCTCAAGCATGTGTCCACCAGCAGCAGTGGCGTGGGAATGTGGTTTGAAACGCTGAATGCCTGCAAGACCCTTTACAGAGCTGGCGTTTGGCAGCTTGATTCGTAAAATTTACAATCCAATGAATCTGTGTATGTTATATGTGTATGTTAAGCTTCATTCCATGAGCTGCGCTGCTGTGTTTGCTGTGGCYGCTCCTCTGTGCGCTGACCAGGAGGTGCTAATGCCCTTGGCATCGCATCCTGCATCATGGCACTTACTACCTAAAATATTTATTGCAGGGTCGATCCTTCCGAAATTAACATCTCGGATGAAATGCCTAAAACAACCGTGTGGAAAGCTCTCAGCATGAACTCGGAAAAGCTCTAAATCAAAGGAGGGAAAAGGTAAAAACAATGGCATGACCGGCATTGTTAATATGACTATACCCTCTCCACGGGGACCCCCCTGCAGCAGCCAGCAGAGCCGTAACCTCCTCTAATTCACGCTCTGTCTCTGTTTCTTTCTCGCTTTTCCTGATTAGGGATTCTGGCTTTGAAGGAGAGGGATGAGAAATGACTCAGGGATGAGCCACCACAAAGGCATGGGCAGAAAGGGCTCCTTCGAGTGGAAGAGAAGGACAGCGAGCGAGCAGAGCCCTCCTCGGTACTTGCTTCCGTCCAATAGCTGGATTCCCATTAAAGCCATTCAGACATTTTCAACTATCTCTGTGCTTTGGGCGTTCGGTGTCTTCAGAGCAGCGAAGTAAGGTGCACATCGCAGTTGAGAGCTTGGTGTTGTTAAGCCTCTACGTGTGTGTTTTGGTTTTGTAGTGGTAGAGGAACTGCTACCGCTTAATCATCCAGTGCTATTGGATTTTTTATATCTGACCCCCCACCTTGTCTCTTTCCCTTTTTCCAAATATAAACTCTGAATGTATGAAACCGTTTTCTATTTGATGCATTCTCTGTTTTTTTTTTTTTTTTTTTTTCTATCTCTGTCCCTAGCAGGTTATTGCTCTGGTTTGGAGTTGTTTGCAATCCCTCGTGGTGTGGGAGGGTTTGTGTCTGTACCGTTGGGTTATGCTAGAGAAGATCCTTTGCTGCTGTGCTCCGATTTCGGATCATTTCTCTTTTCTCTGGCCCAGCAAAATGCACAAGTGCTGTSTTCTTCCCCCGAGCTTTGAATTGAATATAAAGGATCACGCTGCAAATTCCCTGTGTGATCATGTGCGGGACCAGGTGAGACTTGCTGCAGGGGGACACCAGGTCCCCCCTGCACGTGGTTTTGCAGACACTGCTGCCTCCTCCGTCGGGGCCCCTCTGTCATTGGGGGCTCTCAGGGTGGTCTTTTGCTCCTGGCCCTTCCAAACAGCATCTTTTCTCCCAGCATGAGAAGAGCTAGGAGGAAGAAGGGAAACTGTTCCCTCTTTGCCCATGGCACTTGCATGAGGCCCTCTTGCAACTCCCTGGCAAAGGGAAGGGGAAAAAATGGTTTGCCTGTCCTATTCTGGAGCTCTAACTGCTGGGTGGGAGAAATAACACTCAGAAGGTGCTTTTACCAGGGCAGTATTGCAAGCTGGCTGTGGTTTGCACCATTAGAGGGGAAGTGGCATAAGCTATAAGTAAGGGGGATGGTGGTAAATGCCGGTTTATGTTGGTGCTGCGATGCTGGATCTGCTCCGAGCCCTCTTCCAGCTGCAGCCTGGACAAGGAGCTTCCCATGCCTGTGGGCTCCGAGCCTGGCTTMTATCTGCACAAGGGGGCTGCAATGCTGCTTTTGGACCCATGTTGGGTCTCTGGATGTTGCTGCTCACTTCCCATGAAAAGGCRTGTGGAGCGCTCATTTGGGGGATGTTTTAATCCTGTTGGAGGTGTCTATGTAGGCTTGTGGCCTGTAGGAACTTGCAATGAGCTTAGGGGATGCAGCACCACTCCTAGCGCTCTCCTACCTTTAAGAAGGAGTTATGGGGTCTCTAACTCATTTTATTTTTTAAGATATATTTTTCCTTCTGGTCTATTTATCATCCTAGCATTCTCTGTGTAGAAATAGAGAAACTATTTTTGCTTTRGAGACTGAAATATGTTTATTTTGTGGTAAGAGACAATCTAGTTTGGAAGCTGCTTTGTGTTGTACGTAAATGTGAAGGTGGGGAATGATTGTTATTTACCAGCTAAAAATCCTTGTGCATCGTCGAGCTTTCAATGGGGTTTATGCAGGGCTCATGCCCCAGAACTCAGTCCTGCGTCGCCTGGGCAAGTCATGTCCATCTTCAAGTTGTCTCTGTCACTCCTTGACCATAACGGGAAAAAAAATGCAATAATAAAAAAGCAAAAAGAAGAGACTCGTTTGCTTGCACATGCTGCGTTTCGGAGGGGCTGCATCACGGTACCCTGGCAATTTTGCTGCATTTGGGACTTTTCTTGTTTAMTTATTATCATTTTCAATGGTTCCTTCATCTTCATTGCTGTTGTGGGGCAGGGACAGCTCATCGTGGCTCAGTGAGACCAAGAGTTGCCCTGTGCATTGGAAAAACTTCTTGAATTCCATGGATTTACAAAATATAAAGGGGAGAGGTGAAGTGTGTGTCCCCTCCCTTTGCTGTGCCAGGAGAAAAAGGGGCACTTTGGGCAGAGAGAGCAGAGAAGAGCTACAGTTTTCAGTCAGGATTTATTACAATTTTAGGGGAAAAATGCACATAGCAGGACCGTGGGGTAGAGCTGGAGTGGACTGGGGGAAAATCCCAGTGCTGCTTCTACGCGGAAGGTCATTGCAGAGCCAGGAACTACTTAATATGGTGTCATTTGCAGGAAAATCCTTGGGGATGAGCATCCCAGGACTGCTGTGATGCTGACGTCTTGATCTGATCCTGGAGCCTGGAGGCTTGATCTACCTAGAACCTGGAAAGCATCACGGAGTCGCTCCCCCGGACCAGCCTTTTAGGGCTGCTTTCCTGAGATATATTTAAAATCATCAATTGAAAATGGTTCTAATGGTACTGAGCACTTGTGGATGATGCTGGCTATATCCGACTCACCAGCTGCCAGGAAAGCGGAGCCCACGGGCATCTTCCTGCAGATCCCTCTTGGTGGAGCTGTGGAAAAGAGGTGGGGAAAAGAGGAAAATAGGGGGGAAAAACCCCTTTGGGATTGGATTCCAACCAGAACTGCCCATTGGCAAGCTCTGATGTGCTTTTCCCTGTGGAAAACATGTCCATGAAGTTGGAGAMCTGGCTTTTCCCAGTGGTACCTGTAGCGCTTGGTGTTGATGAGCCAGTGCACGAAGTCCTTGGCCTTCATCTTGTCCAGGTAGTGAGTGAAGTCACTGGTGAAGGTGCCCTCTGAATGCCGCTTGTGAGTGTCCGTGATGCTCCTGATGCTGCGAGTGCTCTGAGTTTCCAGTGCCTGCTGCCTGTCCAGCACAGGAAAAGAGGATTTTGGACACATTAAACCTATTGCAATCTGGTTTTACCCTCCCCAGGCCATGTGGTAACACCCGGACAGGGGTTGCATCAGATCTTGCCCCATGATGCCCTCTCCAAACATGCATTTTTATGAGGAATGGGGCTCTGTGTTGGCTATGCCRAGGACACCGCGATGGGGTTGGGAATTGGCTTTGGGCAGTGTGCTGCCTGTGCCAAGTGTCCCTCCTGACCCCCTAGAGCTTTATTTCAGGCACCCTGTTAGCAATTTTCCTGCCACCTCCTGACTCCGTTTCCCCCCTCAAGCCAGCAGTATCTCCAAGAGAAAATTGCCCCCAGCCCCARTGTAATCATTTCCTCCCTCCCCCCTTGAAAATAAGTGTTTTATTTATTTATTTTTTCCCTCCTAGTGAGGCAGCCCCGTACCTGGATGCATCAGTTGCGTCCTTGGGTAGTGCACAGCAGCTCCCCAGCAGCAGCAGGGCCAGCAGCAGCTCCCCTAGCCGCAGCCACCCCAGCACTTGCATCTGGGCTCTGCAAAGCTGAAGGAAGGAGAGGGTCACAGCTTGGAAGAGCCCTTGGTCACTTCTCCTGGGGCTCGTGTCCCTGCTGCTCTGTGCAAGGTATGCAGCCCCAAAGAGCATTTGCACCATGCAAAGAAATGACTTGCAAGCACTGGGTCTCATCACCTCAGCGTGATACCTACAAACTTCCCCCATTAATAATTTCCTCTAAAACCAGCATTTGGAAGAGTCGCTTAGTTTATGGGTTTGTATTTCTTCTCCCTGCTGCCTGGCTTAGCATTTTGGGGCTCGGATGCTCCCAAATAGGATGCTCCCAAATCAGCAGCATAACCTGGGCAAGCAGAAACTCCCAAGCTCAACCTCTGCAAGCTTTCCCAAAAACCAKCTCCCTTCCTGCATCATTTTTGGACTCCGATTCCCACGGAGCTGCTGGGATGGTGGCAGGGACCAGCGCTTACCTTCAGCTGGGGCAGCCGCTTCCCAAAGCAGGTTCCAGTTCCCTCCTCGGAGGTGCTTGTGGCGAAGCCCAGCTCCTTCCTGGCGCTTTTAAGCTCGTTAGCAGGATGGCAGGATGCTCACAGATGACAGGTAGGTCAGCGATGTCCTGTTTTTAGCCGGATGGGTCATTATGAATCATCATGGGGCTTTTTTTTTTTTTTTTTTTTAAGTGGGACTGCTGCAAAAAAATATAAAAATATAGTTGTTGCCTTATTTTGCAGCTCCTGTCTTCAGTGCTGAGGGTGGTGTTTGTCACTGCTGCTGTTTCTCTTGTCTCTTTTCTTGGTTGCTGCCACCACAGAAGTGACCTGCTGCTTCCTGCCTTGCAAGGGACCTGGGGCCTTCTTGCCACCAAGCATCTCCTGCTGCCAAGTGATCCATGTGCCTGCCGGGCTCTCCCTGACACCTTTGCTTTGACTGGGAGAAAAAAAAAAAACACAAGAGAAAGATGAAATAAGAGAAGCATTTGGATACCGAAGCACCTGCTGTGGTCCAGGGGAGTGGTGAAGATGAGGGATGTGTCCTGCTTGGCTAAATGAGCATCACTGGGCAAAGCATGCGTTTGTCCCCAAATTGGGGAGCACATGCGGAGCAGGGTGGGGGATGTTAGTGTTCCTGAGCTTTGGGGGTGGATCTGGGATGTGCAGAGTGGCCCTGACCATAGGAGCAGCATCCATGGGGCTAGGGATGCTCTTGGCTCAAGAAATCTCTGCCGTTCACTTTTTTTTTGGGGGGGATAAACCAACCCTTTGCACAAGCTTGGGCTCAAGGGAAAGGGAGACCCAAGCAGCCAGTTGGAGCACGGCCACCCTTTACACAGGGATGTTGGGGACAAGGGGAACCCCTCTGGCCTACAGAGGGGATGTGAGCTCCTTGTGCACTGCTGCTCACTGGCTTCTGCTCTGGGACCTCCTAGGTAATTATTACTGTTTCACCAAAGCCTCTTGGTAACTGCTGTCCCTGTCATAGCATGATTAATGCCTGCGGACCAYGAGTCGAGAAGAGCCTTAATGAGGGCGAAGAGTGGCCCTCAGACCAGGTGCTGCAGGGTTAATGAGCCAGAGTCTGGAGAAGGACAGGCAGGATGGTTGCCCTCCCATCACTTGGTCGACTACTGCTGTCCAATTAGCGAGGGGAAGGTCTCCATGAGGTGGGGAGAAAGAAATTTCTCAAGTTTTGACTTGTTTTTTTAGGTGGTTCCAAGCAGCTGGTGGAAGCCTTCATCTGCCTACCCCCACTCTGCCTCATCACGTTGTCCTCCACCAGGAGATGGAAGACACCTCTAGGCTCCTGGTAAGGGATGGAGATGAGAATGGATATAGGGGGCTGCTGGTGCTGCCGCCAGCTCAGCCAAGTGGGGTTCGGGATCAAAACTCTGTTTTGCCCAATCCCTCTTGCAGCACTGGAGGCTGCTCAGCTTCCTCCTTGCTCCTTTCAAGGCACTTTAGGCAGGAGAGTTGGTGGCATGGGATATGCGTCCAAATAAACACAAAAAAAAGCAAGGTGAGGAGAAACACATTCCTAGCCCCCGCAGCTCTGGAGTGGTACATGGAGGCAACATCCTACTGGCGTCTTCACAATGGTGTTTTAGCAGCCCAGAATCACAGGATTCAATTTCCTGRACCTTCGACGTTGAGGAGGTTTGAGCTGGGCCTGTTTTCTCTGGAGAAGAGACGGCTCAGAGGGGATATGATTAATATGTATAAGTTCAGGAAGGGAGAATGCAGGGAGGAATGTTCTCACTGGTGGCCAGCGATAGGACGAGGGGTAATGGCCACAAGCTGAAGCACAAGAAGTTCCGTCTCCAGGTGAGGAGCAACTTCTTTACTGTTAGGGTGACAGAGCAGTGGAACAGGCTGCCCAGGGAGGTTGTGGAGTCTCCTACTCTGGAGGTCTTCAAAACCCGCCTGGATGCCACCCTGTGCCACATGGTGTAGGAGTGCCTGCTTGAGCAGGAAGGTTGGACTAGATGATCTGTAGAGGTCCCTTCCAACCTTAAATATTCTGTGAATCTGTGAATTCTGTTTCCTGCAGGGTTCAGGATGAGAGTGAGCATGGAGGCCAGGGGAGGCTGCATGAAAGCCCGGAGGGCCCCCAGGGCAACAAGCATACAGAAGCCCGGGGAGGCTGCATGAAAGCCCACATGGTCATGGGGGCCACACGTGCACGGAGGCCCCAGGAGGATGTATGAAAGACTGGAGGACTCCCAGAGCGACATGCGCATGGAAGTCGAGGGAGGCTGCAGGAAAGCCCTATGGACTCTCGGGCCCAAGTGCGCACGGAGGCCCAGGGAGGCCGAATGAAAGCCCAGAGAGTCCCCGGGGCCATGTGCACATGGAAGCCGACGGAGGCCACGGGAATGTCCAGAGGGACTCTGGAACCAGGTGCACAGGGAGGCCTGCGGAGGCTGCACAAAAGCCC